CCTTAGCCTCGCTGCATGCAGTTAGCCTAGCCTTGTTGCTAAATAATTCTATCAACCTGTCAATCAGTCGCACTTTCTAGCAGACGACTGTGATGTCAGCGCTGTGGAGGGGGGTGGGGAGCAAATAAAGCTGCTTTCACCTCTGGGTGCAGGAAAGCTGCTCCCCAGGATGCTCCTATCTGTAGCATTGAACAGGAGCTGCTGCTCATGGACGACCTTTAACCAGAGTCTATGGGGGGAGATTTTTGCTAGCCTGACGTAGTCCGACTCAATTCTAGTCAGAATGAGTCTGATGCTGCTCCATAGAGCTGTGATTATGGGGCGTGTTTCAAACGAACCAGGAAAAGAAATGCCTCTGCACTCAATTGGATAGACCTACAACCAATAAGAGCAACAGAGTGCGTGACGTATGTTAAGCGACATACGTTGATAAATCTTTCTTTCCAACAAATGCCTTGATCGCGTTTCTCTGTTCCTCTTTTAAAATTAATTTGCTGTCGATATCTTCTAGAACAGACCTAATAGCAGAATCTACACACCTCAACTCTCCAGCGGCAGCCATTGTTGTTGTCACCCAAGCGCGCTTTGATGACTTGGTCGATTACGTTACTGTTGATCATCTGTCCATCAAAGTATAAAGCCCGCCCTGACAATTTGATTGGCCCGACCAGAGAGTGGGCGATCATACTCACGCTACTATTAAGCAATGCCAGACCGAACTTCCGGACCTCAAACCTTGTGGGCGGGACTAAGTTCGGAATGGCACCCAGGCTAGATTTTTGCGGCCCAAGGTGGAAATATATCCAGATGACGAAAAAAACGGCTTTCCTCGCCGCTAAAGATGAAATATTTATCTTGCACATCTAACAAACATATTAACCCTTTATAGAGCACTTAGTGGAATACTTTGAAAATCCAGGACAAGATCTTATTACCTTGGTAACATAAAAAAAAATACTGATATTTTGATAGAAAAAAATTTATGTCAGTGTAATAACAAGAAACACCAACTTGCCCAATTGTATGAAAATAACAAAAGTGCTTCTATAACAAATTCATGAAAAACACAGAATGAAAGACTGGCACTTAGATTTTTTAGTTTATAAACCTAAATTAAATTGTTAACTAAGCTTATTAACTTTTTAATTTTTAACTATTCAATGTGCTTTTTACCTTTTTTTTTTTTTTTTTTTTTTTTTTTTTTTTTTTTTTTTTTTTTCAATTCAGTTTATTTCTATAGCTCCAATTCACATCATGTCATCTCAGGTCACTTTCCAGTTCAACCAGATCATCCAGTCAGATTGATTCAAAGTTTTCTATCTAAGGAAAACCAGCTGATTGCATCGACTCATTGACTCTTCAGCAATCCCTCACACTAAGCATGCTTGTAGCGACAGTGGAGAGGAAAAACTCCCTTTGAACAGGAAGAAACCTCCAGCAGAACCAGGCTCAGTGTGAGCGGCCATCTGCTGAGGCCCACTGGGGTTCAAGGAGACAGAAGCAGACATAGAAAAAGAAGCTGTAAAAGGCGACCCGATAAAGGAAACACACAGCCAGGCAGACGAGCAACGAGTCGGCTCCCATGTCATGTCATTCTTGGCTTAACTTTTTTTATTTGAAATCCAAATTATAGAAACACAATAAAGAAATTAGATTTTGGGGGAAAAATGGAAGAAGGTTCCCATCCCTTCACCAGAGCGTTGCTGTTCGATCTTTGGACGGTTTTCCATCCTTGCAACCAAACTAGCAGCAGTAGTGGAGTTCGGAGATGAAATCCATTTCTTAAATCTATCGGCGCGGCGCGGCGCCAGGCTGGTGGCTGCTGGAAACAAAGTGGCAGGTGTGTCTCAGGCCAAAAGGAAATAAAGATACAGAGGATTCAAAGAAGAATGGAGCGAATCATTTACTTTCATTACCAATGAGGAAGGATTGCCTGCATGTTTGCTTTGGAATCGAGGTTGTCAAACAATAAGATATTTGGAAAGGCGTTTCCAGGGAAGGCTGCTAAGTATGCAGCCGACCACCAAGCTGGGAGGGAGAGAAAAAATGTGATTCCAGAACTTCTGGATAAATTAGAGGAGTGCAAAGATCGATTTAAGAGGTATTTACATCTCCAGACTCCATTACTGCTGCTAGTTGCAAGCTATGGTGAAGCGGCGAGCGGTGAGTTCCACACGGTTAGCGCGTTCGCTGCTCCTCCCTCACCTCATGCTACCTTTTGACATTTGCTCCAGGATAAACATTTAATCATGAATGCTTTATATATATTCAAGCTCACGTTGTCCTTTTTTATAGTGGGCTAATTCACTTAGAGCCTGTGCTGCGAAACAAGGCTGATAGAAGACTTTTTGGTAAAATGAAGCAGGAGAGACGCTGGGTTTAAAAAATGTTTTTATAATAGATTAAAAAGTTTGATTAACTTGATAAGCTATTAAAGATATATTTTTTAATTATAGTGAGCAAATGAAAACCTTTAGCCTTCTCAGTTTTTCAAGTTGACTTTTTTTAAACGATCCTTGGCATTAAAATCTGTTAGGGCTTCAAAAATAGCGATGGACTCGTACATCCGCCGAATGGTATTTTTAGCTGATATTGGTATTTTTTCTTTTTTTCTTTTTTTTCTTTTTAGTACATGTATGCATTTGCCAATTATTTAGTTTTCCGCAGCCATGCCTTCAGATCCCATGAAGCACATGCGCTGAATCTCCCTCCATCTGTTATCATTGCTAATATTCTGTTTGATAATGTTTTTGTTATTCAAATCCAGACATTTTTTTCTTATAAACGGAGGAATTCAATCTCCTGATAATCTGTTTTTGTCTACAGCTTGCTAGCACACCAAGATCGAAGCGGTATAAAAAAGTTTTAGAGGCCTTAAACAGCAACAGTTACACGTAAGTTGGTCTTTTTTCCTCATGTTGCTTCACCTTAATGACAAACTTGGAACAATCCTCTTCCTAACTCCTCCTCTTTTTCTTTTTTTTTGCAGGTTCATGTCGGGGAAGGAGGTGAAGAAAAAGAAGCACTTGTTTCGCCTGAGAGTCTTTTTCCCCCCTACCCCCCCTAACTGTTCTGAACCCACATATACGGTGATGGGGGAGCCGCTGCAGATCACCATCAAGGGATGGAAGCCGGTGAAGAGCTCCTTCGACAGGAAGTAAGAAGCAACCTTTATTTTTATTTTTATTTGGACTCGGGATGCAAACTGTTGATTCCTGAACGACTCTTAAAGTGATTGATCTTATCATTCAAGTAACGATTAATTAATATTTATATTTATTTATCTGACAGGGACCATGTACATTAATAAGCATTCCTGCAAATGCTCCAGAATTATAGTTAATAACATTGCAAATTAATCGCATATTTTTATTTGAGCATTTTAAAAATGCAATTGTGCAATAAATGACATGTAAAAAAACATGCTTATACAAAAAGTATTTTTTATTTATTTTTTTTTTTTTATCTTTCAAGCACTTTGAAGAAACTAGAATAAAAACATCCTTGTTTAAATTCTGGGCAATAATTATTCAAAAATTGTAAAAATTAGGTGTTATGCTTCCATCAAAACTGAACAAAACTACAGAACAGTAAACGGTACTTCAAAGTACTCCGTAAACTTAATTTTTTGGTCAAACATAGGACAAAAATAACGATTTACTTTTAAAATAAATTGCACATTGCGTGATGAAATACAGACTTAATTCAAATGAAATGAAGTTACTCTCAAAATAATAAACGAAATTACAATAACTGGCTTTTGCAGTCATCTCAACAACATAATATTTTACATGTTGAACATTTTCAAAATGCTTAAATGTTCCTTTGCTCTGAACAGGAAGTGCAGCAGCAG